AAATTTAAGAATAAGAATTATTATATTATTATTTTTAAAACAATTAATTTTTTTTTTTTTCTTAAAATAAATTAATATATAATAACGTTATAAAATAATTTTAAATAAAATAAATAAATTAATATTATGTAGTTTATAATTGATAGCCTAATATTATAATTAAATTAATAAAGTTTGATATTATTAGACAATCCCGTAAATATTTACATAAATATAAAGTTTTAAAACGGTTAAAATTATATTTCAAAGCCTTAAAAATTTACTAAGATTTTAAAATAATATTTAATGATTAAATAGAATGCTAAAATATACTAAACATTGATTTTTTCGAGTATTGTTTAAATGAAGATATAAGTAAAAATTCGCATTTAGCTTTTTCTGAATTCAATTTAAATTAAGATTATTAAAATGTATTTTCGTATTAATTTAATAATTAAATAATTGGAAAATTAAAAATTAATCTTTTCGATTAAAGAAAAAGCGATGATATTAGTTGTTAATCTTAAAATCAATAGTTCAAAAAAGATGAAACTAAATAAAAAATAGAAATTTTATAATATAAAAATTAATAATACTCGTAAAAAATTTTAGAAGAATAATTAAAAATGAGCCAAAATAATAATTAAGTATTAAAATAAGGAAATTAAATAATTAATTAAAAAAACAATTTAAATATTTATAATTAATAAATTGTATATAATCAAGTATATACTTAAAGGATTTCTTAATCTATTTAAAAATTTAAATAAATAAAATAAGATAAATAAATTAGTATATAGCATTCTACTAAAAAATAACCTTTGAAAAAACCTATTATTCAATAATAAGGTTAATAATAAGTATAATATAATTTATTTAATAATAATATGATAACAAGGTTAAATAATTTTTAGTTTACAAGAATAAATAGGTATAAAAAATTATTTATTTATTTATATTTTTTATTTTTTTTAACAAAAAAAAAAGAATTGTTTGAATCTCCTATATTTATTTTGAAAAAAAAAAAAATATATTAAAATTAATTTTTCTAATGTATATTTTTTTATTTTAATTTATTAATTTTTTTTAAAAAATGATAATAATAATCATAATATTATTATAAATACTAGAACAAAAATTATTATTATTTTTTATATAGAAAAAAATATAATCTAAACTTAGTAATATTTTCAAAATATTCTAAAAATTAATAATTGCAAAAAAATATCATTAGAAAATCAAAATTTAAATATATTTTTAAGAAAAGTTATTTATTTTTTATTAACTTTATATGTTTTTTCTTTTTTGACAGACTTTATACTCCTTATCATATTCAAAAATATTATATATATTAATAATAGTAATCTAAGAAAAAATTAGAAATATAGACATTTTTAATAATCTATTTATTAACATTTTTTTGATTTCCTCAAACTAAAAAATAATATAATTTTTAAAAAAATTGATATTTTCTAGACATATATGACAATTTTTATTAGAAAAAAACATTTTTAATTTATTTTTAAATTAAAATTTTATTTTTTTAAAAGCATAAAATTAAAAAAGAAAATATCCTCAAAATAAAATATTAAATAAGTATATTTTTATTTATCCACAATTCTTTTTTTTTTAAAAAAACTAATCAAGAAATCCTTATTTTTACCAAAAAAAAAAAAAAATACTCAAGCATTAAACCGGTTTTCAATAGCCAAAATTGTTTCTTATTTATGTATATTGGTTAAAGTATCTCTTTTATTTTTTATTTTTAACAAAAATTAAATATCTTATCTAACTAAAAATAATTATTTTAAATTTTTGCAAGTATTAATAATATAATTTTATGTGATATGTATCATTTCTATTAATAAAATGATTTCGAAAAATAATTTTATAATATTTTTTTAAGAAAAAACATACATTAATTTCAAGAATTTATATAATTCATTAAATTATATTAAAAAAAATAAAATAAAAAAAATCTTTTTTATTTTTCGGGATTTGGATACAATATTTTTTTCAAATCAGAAATATAATTTTTTATTTTTCATTTAGCTTTTCTATATTGTACTATTTAAACTAAAATCTAAGTAAAAAAAAAATATAAATAAAATAGGAAATAGGACTATAATTCATTAAAAAAAAATAGAAGAAAGGATTTTAACTTTGTTTAGTCTAAATAATGATTTTTATTTTACTATTTATGATTTGAATAGTTCCTTTATAAAATATTCTTAAGTATTTAATATTAGTTTTTGGATTTTAGATAAAAGGTTTGTTCTTAATTATATATTTATCAATTTCTGTTTATAAACAGGTATACTTAAAAATTATTTTCTTGGGTATATATTGAAATTAGAAATAATATGTTTTATTTATAATTTAAAAAATAGAATAAAATAAATTTATGAGTTTAATTTAATATTAATAATGCTTTTTCAATTCAATTTATTAATATGGTAACAAACAAATTGATTTTATATAAATAAATTATGGATTACATATGTATTTATATAATTTATTTTAAAAAAATTATTTCTAAACTTAAAATTTTAATTGTAAAATAAATAGAAAACAATATAAATACATTTTCTAAAAAAATATTTAAAGTTATAAATAAGTATAATAAAAAATATATATAATTAATACACTATTTGAAATACATAAACAGAATTTTCTGTATAAACAAATAAAGCAAGTAATCATTAATCTACATTGACTTTTTATATTAAATCATATTTACCTTAATCATTTAATTACATAATCCACATTTCACAATTTTGTGGATTAGGCATTTCATTGAAAACATTAATTCCTAACCTTTTATATCTCATTAAAAGTAACCTTAAAACCATTCCATGAGAAATAATAATAAAATTTCTTTTTTTACTAATAGATTTTCCATAATTATCCATTTCCCTATATATAGATTCCCAAAATAATGAAACTCTATCATAAACATCAGCCGCAGATTCTCCTTATTCAAATCTATAAAAAAACCTTCCTACTTCTTCTCTTTCTTTCGAAATTTAATTTAGTTTTTCAGGTTCTTCCTGAAATTTTTGGTAGTTTCCCCATTCTTATTCTCTTATTCTAGGTTCTTCTATAACTTTATAATCTTTAAAATTTTCAGCAATTTTAGAAAAAGTTTATTTCGTCCTTAAAAAAGGAGATACGTAAAATGTGATTTTTTCATTTTAACCGATTTCCTTTTATAAAATTTTTCCTATTTTTTCAGCTTATTTTTCTCCATTTTATGTTAAAGGAATCTAATTATCAGGAATTTTGGCATATATTAATGGATTAACATTAGCTATAGACTCCCCATGTCTTATAAATATTAATCTACGAGGTCTATTTAATTTTTTAAATCGAACTGAATATCCTTCTAATATATGTGATATTTAACACATTATTAAATCTAAAAAATAATTTTTGTATTTTTATATTAATGTTATGAAAGCATATAATAGTAAAAGGGATATTATTAATATTATAAATGAATTTTTGTTTTGTATTTCAGTATACATTATTTTTTACTTTTATTTTCTTTTATTAAAACTAAGTCTTTTCTATTTTGTTTTTTTAAATATATTTTTTGTTTGATTTTAATTTATGTTAAGTTATTGATAAATATTATTTTTTGTTTTATATAAGTAAAATAAATATATAAAATAAATAAGTATTAATTAAATTTTAATTATAAATTAATTTATTTTAAAGAAAATATTATATATATTTATTTATATATTTATATATTTATATATTTATATTTTTTTTTTTTTATATATATGTATAATATAATTAATTAATTTATTTAAATTTATATTATTTATATTAATTTTGTTATATTTTTTTATTTTTATACAAATATATAGTTAATATATTATTATTTAATAATTTTTATTTTTATTAATTTCAACAGAAAATAAAAATAAAATAAAAAAAATGAATTCTATAGAATGTATTTCTTCCTAAAACATACAAAAACTTTCAAATATTAATAAATGTAATTATTTTTCATACATTAAAAAATTATTTTAGTAAAAAACTATAATATAGACTAAAACATTCAAAAAATTAAAAGAAACTATTAAAATAATATTATGAATATTGATTGTAAATACAATTAAAAAATCGAAAAATATTCTCTGGAATTGAAAAAAATAATGGATATGAGAAATCTAATATTCCCTAAAATAATAAATAATAATAAAATCTTAAAAAAAGAAAAAATTGATGAATATACTTTGAAATTTATAAAAGAAATAAAAAAAAACAATAAATTTATGTAACAAAAAAATATTATTTAAAATAATTTGTAAAATAAAGTTATAAAAACTTTCCGAAAATGTCAAATAATAAGAATGTAATAAAGAAAAATAATAAGATATTAATAAAGAAAAATAATAAGAATGTAATAAAGACTAAAAATAAGAATGTAATAAAGATGTAACACTCGAAAATAATCTAGTTTTGCCAACAATCTATAATCTAACAACTAAAAAACGACCTCCACTATATAAAAACATAAGCACAAAAATACTACCATCAAATGAAAAGTAAAACCTTATTGAAAACTATAAATTCGGACCTATAATAGGTGAAAAAAAAAAAACCAAATTAATATATATAATTATATGTAAAAAAAAATAAAAAATAGGAACGGGTAGTCATGCGATCGTAAAACTAGGAAAAGATAATAAAAACAATTAAAAAGTGGCAATAAAACTATATGAAAAATATAAACTTAACGATAACTAAAAAAAATAAAATGTCGAAAGAGAAATAGAAATTCTAAAAAAACTCGATCATCCTTCCTGTATAAAACTTCGAGATATAATAAATACAGACCGACAAGTAAAAAAAAACAGTGTTTTATTATTAGAAAATAGATTAATATAGTTATGGATTATGCAGGTCAGAATTCTCTTTATTCTTATATGAAATTACAGCAAGAAAGAAAAATTCCGGAAAAAGATGCAAAATGTATATTCAAGTAAATAGTGGAAGGAATTTAATATATGCATTCTTAAAATATTGTACATAGAGATATTAAACTAGAAAATATATTACTAGATGATAAAAATAATGCTAAAATAATAGATTTTGGATTTTCAATTATAACCTAGCCATTATAAAAATTGAAAATATTTTGTGGAACTCCAAGTATGAAAATATAACTATATATAACTATAAACTAATATATATATATATATATATATTTATATTTATATTTATATTTATATTTATATTTATATTTATATTTATATTTATGTTTATGTTTTTTTATATAATTATTTTTTTATTAATTAATTTTTTCTAGATTATATGGCTCCTGAAATCGTTGCATAAAAAAGTTATTGTGGATTTTAAGTTGATGTTTGGGCATTAGGTATACTTTTATATGTTATGCTTTGTGGTAAGTTTCCTTTTAAAGGAAATGATGATAAAAGTTTATTCAAATAAATTTAAAAAGGAGATATTTATTTTCCGTAATATTTAAGTTAAGAAGCTAAAAATTTAATTTCTAAAATAATAAATGTGAATTAAGATGATAGAATTAAAATCGAATAGGTTTCAAATTTAATTTATTTATATTTTATAAACAAATTTCTTTTATCAAATAAAATAGATTCTTTAAGATGATTGGTTTTAATAATGAAATAATATCTATACATTTTAATTTATTGTTTTATTAAAAAAAATGAATATTTTTTAATAAATTAGAATTTTACATATTTACATTTAATATATTAATTTTTATAAAACAATTATTATTAATTTCTTTATTTATAAAATGCATTTTCTTTTTAATTTAAATTTAAAATAAATAAATATTATAAATTTAAGGTATAATCAAATTAAATAAATATTTAAATTTAAAATAAATAATTATTATAAATTTAAGGTATAATCAAATTAAATAAATAATATATTAGTAATATTTTATTTAAACGTGCCTATTTATATTTTTTTATACTTTTTTTTAATAAAAAGTTAATTTTAAATTACAAATACACAATAATCTTTTTTCTTATATAAAAAAATACAAATTGCTTGTATTAATTATAATCTAAAAGCAATAATATATGTATTAAATATAAAAACAAATATTTATAAAATAGAAATATATAATTATAACAAAAAATAAATACCTAAATTTTTATTATATTTTTTTTTATAAATAAGTATATTTTTAAACTGTGTTTAATATATAAAATTTTTAATAATAATGCAGACTAAATCATTTTTTAAGTAAAGGAATTTATGTAATAATATCTGTAATATATTGTATTTATACCTATTAAATTAATTGGTTTAATAATCTAAAGTATAATTAAAGGCAATTATTTTTCCTTTTAATTACTCTATTTTAGATATAAGATAATTAAAATTAAATATATGTATAATTCTTAATAGTAATTTATTGGCTCATTTGAGAATTATTGTATCAAATTTTGAGATATAAAAAAAGCAAAATAAGGCCAAATAAATAAATTTGAGAAAATCAATAATCGTCTATATTCTATATAATCGTTGTATTTATTATCAATAATTATAAAAAATAGTAATAACTATATATAAAAAAAATTGTTTAAAATTAAAGAGAATATTTTAAACATAAAATTGAAAATCAACTAAAGAATAGATTTAATACTCTTATTCAACGAAAATAATAGGTTTGTCTTTTTTTAAAAGCAAAAAAGAAATCTAGAAATAAAATTAGGAAGAACAAACTAATTTAGATGTTAAAAAAAATATTTAATCTCATTTTGAAAAATAAATATATTTATTTAAGATAGTAATTAATGATATGTAATATTAATCAAATTTTAAATCAATAAATGATTATAAAAACAATTTTATAAAAGATTTGAGTAAATTAAATTAATATTAAATATAAGATATAGATAACTTAAAGTCATAATGAAAATATAGAAAATAAACTTTGATGTTATTATTGAAAAAAATATTATAAACTGGAAAAAAAAAATATATATAATAATATTTATTGAAATATTATATTTGTAATATAAAAAATGGTATATTTTTTTGTTCAATTTAATTTAAATTAATTAATTAATAAAAAGAATTTTTTATTTATAATAAATTTACATTATATTTGAAAATAAATATTTAATATCTTAATAATTTTTATATATTAATTTTTTTAGAAAAATAATTTAATAATATATATATATTCACTAAACTTATAAATATAAAAAATATGGGCTTTATTTAAATTCTTTTATTTAAACAGATTTATAAATAAGATTTTTTAAAAAAAAATATAATTGAGTTTACTTTTAATAATATATAAAAAAAATACAAATAAATAAAATATAAATTCAAAAAATAAAACTAATAAAAGTAGAAATTTTTATATATCATAAGTAGTTTTAATAAAATTAAAATTTAAGCTTGAAATATTTATAATATAATCGCAATATATAAATATATTATTAATATATATTAAATGGATTTTTAAATATAAAGTTTTCAAAATTTTATATTAAATTTAATAATTATATAATAAAAATAATATAAACTATATAAATATAAATAATAATTAAAATAAGAAATATAATTAAATATTTCCATTTTAATAAATAAGGTAAAATTATTTTTATATTATATAATCGAAATATATATTATATATTATTATTAATATTCATATTTAAATTTTACATTAAAATATTCTTATATCTTATAAATAATATATTTTAATATTATATATTAATATTCTTTTATCGAATAACAAAAAAATTAATATTACAATAAGAAAATAGAAATCTTATTTTTTTTTTTTTTCAAATAAATTAAAAATAAAAATCCTTTGTTATTTTTTTATTTAAAAAAAATACATTAAAATATTTACTTTTCTTTAAAAAAAATTTTAAAAAAAGTTATATAAAAAAATAAAAATATGGATAAAAAAAGGAATATTTACTTCAATGTATAAAAACATTATTAAAATTAGACGAAGAGCCCAAAAGTTTAGCAAAGTCTCCAATACTTGACGAATTTATCGATAGTATAGAAAAGCAATCAATATCATTAGTATATTTACCCGGAAAAGGATTTAAAGTATACAAATATCAAGAAACTGTAGCCCCGGGAAATCAAATAATAACAATAAACAAAAATATTATTAATGAAATAATAACAGAAGAAAATATAAGCAGAATAATAAGTATTTCTTTAATGTCAAATGATCCTTTAGGGCAGTTTTATTAATATTTATGCTAGTTTTATATTCCAGCATTAAAAGATAAATCAAGCGAAGATATAAATAGAATTTTGGAAGAATTAAAAGTCTAATTAGATAGCTCTATTAATGGAATAGGAGATTCAGACGATATAGACGAAAATAATGTCAGAGGAATTTACAAGCCTATTGATGAATTTGATTTTTGGGTTAAAATTTAGACTAATTCAAGCCAAATTTAATTGTAGAAAAAATCAGGAAAAATTAATGAGTTTTTTGGATAAATAGATTCTTATTGGAGAGATTTAAAAAAAATTGAATTTTCCAAAATTTAAGAAGTAGTTGAAAAAACTATTCATATTATTGATAAAGTATACTTTTTTTTTTTATTTAAATAAAATATATTTATGTAAATTCAAAGGTTTGGAATATGGATTCTGGATATAATGGATATAATGAAAATAGAATGATAAAATTAATTGAGGTTTTTTAAATTTCGCTTGTTTAAAGATTTTAAGTGGAATTTAAAATTGAAGATGTTTGGGACTTGAATTAGATTTAAAATAAAATAAAATTGATTGAAGGGTAAAAGTTCTTGAAATCTTTTTTAGAAAAAATCAAATATTTAGTTAGTGTGAAATGGAAATAAGGAAGAAAATGGACAAGTCAAGCTTTTAATAATTAAATTATTGAAGGAAATATAATAAGAATAAGCGAGGTCATTTAGATTAGAGATTTTTATGAGTAGTTGAGTAAGATAGAAAATCTAAATGTCGATTATTAAAATATTTTTTAATAATTTAAAAGTATTAATTGCTTAAATAATTAAGTTGTTTAAGATGAATAATGGTAATAAATGAAATAAACATATAAAGAATAAATAAAAGTAAATATATTTTTTATGCTTTTTATTATTAATAAATAAAAAAAAAAATAGGAATTGATAAATCATGTTTAATCATTTTTAAAAAGAATATTTAGTAATATAAAAGGCAAATAAAATAATTAGGAAATCTTAGATATGTTTTAAAAGTGGAGTATTTTTTTTAATATAGAGGAAATTAAAATTGTATTAAGTACAGAAAGAAATTAAATAATTAATTGTTTAATAAATATTGTTGAAAAAATTAAATTAAGTTTTAGTTAAAAAAATAAATAAAATTTTGAATTTTCGAATTAAATTAATGATATTATATGGGCTTATAGTTTAAATTAAAAAGTAATAAAATATATATATATATATATATATATATATATATAATATAAATATAATATACAGTATATATATATTAATATATTTTACATATTTATAATATATATTTTTATTTATCTATATATTATTTTTTTATATTTTTATATGTTTAATATTAAATTAGCTTCATTCAATTATGGCTATTGGATCTTGCTTTAATGATATAAATAATTAATTTAATAAAAGTTGTGAGTTATTAATTTAATAAATTTAATCTTTTTAGAATGAATAATTTTATTTATGGAAAAATGAAATTGAAAAAAATTTAAGTTAATAAAGTGAAGATTAAAGTGCATAAATATGCGGAAATTAAATAGAAATAATTTTTATTAATAACTATATTAGTTTAAAATAATCTGATAAGCTTATATTTTTTATTAAAGATGTATCTTAATTAATCGAATTGAAAATTTTTAAAATTCCAGAAAACGTATTCACTGCATTTGAAAAAGGGAAATTATACTATAAATATTTTCTTAATTTTTAATAAGTAAAGCATATAATTTAAATTACATTATATATAAATATATTATATTTAGATAATAAATTTCTATAATTCTTTAAATGGTTAAATTATTCCAAGTTTAAAAGAAATGATTGAAGATAAAATGAAAAAATTCGAAGATTTATTAAAAAATAATCTAAAAAAAAAGGATAGTAATAAACTAATAATATACTTACTGGAGGAATTCTTTTTTGGAATAATACTGAAGAATTTGAAGATTTTATAAAAAAATGTTAAGAAAATATATAAGATATTATGAATGAAAATAAAAATTAAGAATGCTTCATTTACATTTAATTTAATAAGTATCGAATTTATTTGATTTAGATCTTGTTAAATATAGAAATCTATGGAAATAGAAAATCGAAAATATTAAAAAACATTAGAAAGTGGATGCTTAGGTAAAGATTAAGCTAAATGCAAATAGTGGAAAATTAATTGGGATTGTTAATTATATAAAGCTTTAGAACATTAATACTAAAGGGGTTTTTAACTTTTAGATTAAGTAAATTATAAAATTATATTAAATATAATATTATTATTATTTTTGTTAAGAATTTAGAAGAAATAAATGTTGATTTAGTACTTTAAGGAAAGAATATATAATTAAAACCTTCTTTAGAAGAAATAAAAGATAAATATTATAAAGAAATAAAAGTATTTATTAATTGGCCTGTTAAAGAAATATAAAGTTTCAGTGGAAACAGCGATATATATTAATAAATGCCAAAATAAAACACAGATTTCATAGTGTTAGTTTATTAAAAAGCCTATAACTTATTTACAATTTTATAAAATGAATTGTAATAATATAATCTTTGGAGTTAAATTGCTTAATTTGATATAGAAACTATAGAAGATAAAGTTAAAAAAAAAAAAAAAAAAAATTAAATTTTTTTTAAAAAAAGATCTAAAGTATGGAAGAATGGGAAATCAATATAAAATATATATAATAGAAAAGAGATGAAATCGAAAATATAGAAGATAATAAATAAATAAACTGTTTTAATATAAATATGAAGCCATTTAAATAAAATATGGATGATTGTTTATAAAACCTAATTGATAGTATAGTGAATATTTTAAAAAGTAGTGTAAAGAAAGATTGTGATTTAATTGAGGATTTCATTTCTGGAAGTCTCGAAAGACTTACCAATAAGCCCAAAAGTATGGAAGAGATGAATCAAGCAAGAAATTCATATATAGAATTAAAAGAAAAAAAAACTGAAATGGGGGATAAGATAAATAATATATAAAGTAAGAATAAAATATTAAAAAAAATTGTCGGATTTGTCTATAATATTGCAAATACTGAAAAAAGATGGGAAAATTTTGAAGTTGCAATAGGAGATTTTGATAGTATATTATTCGAATAGTCTAAATAAATCAGATAGGATATAGGAAAAAAAGGAGATTTTTTAAATTAAGAAATCGACAAGTTTTATACTAGATGGTAAAGTGTAAAACCGTAAAAAGTAGAAAAATTTGATAAAGAAAGTGCGAGGGAATTAGGTGTTAAAATGAAAGAAATGTAAAGCTAGTGGACAGATATTGAATAAAGGATCGATAATTTATCAAAAGATGCTAAACATTTCGAAATGAATGAATTTAAGTTTAATAATTTGTTAAATGTTAAAAATGATTTATCTTCAGGAGTAGTTTTTTTGTATTTTATTAATATAAATTTTTAAATAAAATTTAAAAAGGATTCTTAATGGGCATTGTTTGACAAATTTAATAGTGAACTAGAAAATTTAGAAAAAGAAGAATGGATTGTATTTAAAAGCAGATTATATGATTTTTAAGATTTCTTAGTTTAATGGGATGCTTAATTAAAACCTTTTGTTAATAAAACAGATCCTATAATACAATATATGACTGAATAAATATAAATATTTCATAAAATATGGACTTCTTTACGTCTATGTGTTGGTAATACAAAAATAATAATATATAAATATATCTAAAAAAAAAATTAGGTGATACATTCGAAAGGGAACATTGGAGAAGTCTATTTATACTTTTGAAAATTCCAAAAGAAATAAATTTAGAAAATTTAAAATTCGGCCATTTATTAGATGCTGAAAATCAACTTTTCGAAAAAACAAATGACTTAAAGGAATTAGTTGCCCGATCTTAAGGCGAAATATCACTCCGGGAAGCCATATAGGAATTAAAATAATGGTGCGATACATATTGTTTCGAATTAACTGAAAATATATCGAATAATCGAACCACTCCTTTAATTAAAGAATGGAAAGATCTATTAACTAAAGTATCAGATAATTAAAGTTTATTATTAAGTATGAAAGAAAGTAAGTTCATTGGAAGATTCGCAGACTAAATAGATTAATTCGAATAAAAACTAGGAGGAGTAGATGAATATTTAACTAAATTATAAATCATATAAAGAAAATGGGTTTATTTGGAACCCATTTTCGGTAGAGGAGCACTTCCAGCTGAATAAGGAAGATTTAGACGCTTAGATGATGATTTTAGGTAAATAAAATTTTGAATATATTTATATATATATATAAATATATGAAAATATAAATAAATATATATAAAAATAAAAATTTATATATATTTAATTATTTATATATATATATATATATATATATATTTAATTTTATTTAGATCTATAATGCTTAATATAGAAAAAGATCCAAGAGTAGTACTTTTATGTTAAATAGGAGGTATAAGAGATACTTTAGAAACTATATTAGATTAATTGGAGAGATGTTAGAAGGCTTTAAATGATTTTTTAGAAGAAAAAAGAAGCCGTTTTCCTAGATTTTATTTTTTAGGAGATGATGATTTATTGGAAATTCTGGGTTAAAGTTAAAACGCAAATGTAATTTAAATGCATTTGAAAAAACTTTTTGCAGGGATACACAAAGTGGAATTTGATAAAAAAATAGAATAAATACTATCTATGGTTTCTAGTTAGAAAGAAAGTGTTGTTTTATGTGAAAAAGTATAAATTTAAGAAAATGTAGAAAATTGGCTTTCTGAATTGTCTATTAAAATGGTCAAAACATTAAAAAATTCACTTAATTAATGCTTAGGGGAAGATTCGTTGTAAATAGAAAATTTCCCAAGTTAAATATTGTGTGTTAGAGAGGAAATTATGTTCAATTATTAAGCATTAGAAGCCATTAAGGAAGGAAAATTAGATTCTTTAAATCAAAATTTGAACAAAAAACTTGAATTTTATACTAAATAAGTAGGAGGAAGTGAACATTTAACGTCTTTGAAGCTAAAAGCGTTAATTTTAGACTTAATTCATCAAATTGAAGTAATAAATTTACTTATAAATGAAGAAGTTAAGGACGTATAAGACTGGAATTGGTACAAACAATTAAAATATTAAATGCAAGAAAAAATATGCGAAATAACAATGTGTAGAGCTAAATTTAATTACACTTATGAATATTAAGGAAATGCTCCAAAACTTGTGCATACTCCCCTAACTGATAAATGTTATTTAACATTAACACAAGGAATGGATATGGGTTACGGAGGAAATCCATATGGTCCAGCAGGTACAGGAAAAACTGAATCTGTAAAAGCCTTAGGTTAAGCTTTTGGAAGATAAGTAAAAATAAAAAAATATAACTATATAGATATAAATTTATAAATGTATATATGTAAATAAATATAAATTTTTTTTTTATTATATATATATATATATATATATATATATATATATATATATATTTATATATTTATTTATTTATATTCTAATGTAATAATATATATGCTTTTTTGTTTTATCTAAGGTTCTTGTATTTAATTGTGACGAGGGTCTTGATTTTAAAAGTATGGGAAGAATATTTATTGGTTTAGTAAAATGTGGGGCTTGGGGATGTTTTGATGAATTTAATCGTTTATTAGAGGAATAATTGTCAGCTATTTCTTAATAAATATAAATAATATAATGGGCTATAAAAGAAGATGAAAAAACAATGCATTTAATGTCGCAAATAGTCGAAGTAAACAGAAATTCGGGTATTTTTGTCACTTTAAATCCAGCAGGAAAAGGGTACGGAGGACGTAGTAAACTTCCTGATAATTTAAAATAGCTTTTTAGACCTGTGGCTATGTCTGTACCTGATAACGAGATTATTGCGGAAACTTTACTATACTCCGAAGGTTTCAAGAACGCGAAAGATTTAGCTTAAAAAGTTATTTCTGTTTTTACATTGAGTAAATAGTTACTTTCTCCCTAATAACACTATGATTGGGGCTTGAGGGCTTTAAAAACTATACTAACGGTAGCCGGATAATTAATTTAAAGAGAGAAAAATCAAAAAATTACCAAAGAAGTTGAATATGAGCTAGTTATTAAAGCTATTAGAATCAATACTATGAGTAAATTGACTTTCTAAGATACGCAGAAATTCGTTTCTTTACTAGAAGATGTTTTCCCAGGCACGATTTCAGGCGATATCCTTTATGAATAAATAAGTGAAGTTTCAAAAGAAGTTTTGAGGGAAAATAGACTTGATATAATTGAAACATAAATCCAAAAAATCCTGTAATTCTACGAGGCTACAAAATAGCGTATGGGGGTAGTTTTAGTAGGTCCTTCCGGTTGTGGGAAAACTACTATATGGAAAACTCTAAAAAAAGCATATGAGAAAATCGGCTAGTAAGTAAAAATATACATCATGAACCCCAAAAGTATGCCCAGAAGTCAACTACTAGGTCTCATGAATAATGATACTAGAGAATTTTCGGAAGGTGTATTGACATCAAGTGCCAGAGAAGTAGTAAAAAACCCTGCCGATGTAATAAATTGGATAATATGTGATGGAGATATAGACCCTGAATGGATTGAGAGTTTAAATAGTGTGTTAGATGATAATCATTTACTTACTTTACCTACTGGGGAGAGGATTTCATTTGGGGATAATGTAAATTTTATATTCGAAACTAATGATTTATAGTTTGCATCACCTGCTACTGTAAGTAGAATGGGAATGATTTTTTTAAATTAGGAAGATATTAAGGTTCAGAGTGTAGTTTTAAAGTGGCTATCTTTAGGAAACAATTAAAATTAAGATTTATTAAAGGAATTTTTAGATTAGTTTTTTTATAAAATTTTGGATTTTGTATCTGAATTTGAAGATGAATAAATTGTTAATACTACCAAAATTGGACTGGTTAATAATGTACTTTCCCTTTTATAAAATGTATAGACGAAAAATTAATTCTTTGTGTAGATTTTGAAGGGTTTCGCAAGTAATTTCCCCTAATAAATAAGAAGTAAAATTGCTAAGTTTATATTTGATTTAGGAAATATATCAGCTCCAGTAGATATTAATTTATTCCCTTTAGATTTTTATATAACGGAAGATTCTTAATAATTAAAAGCTATAAAAAGTCATTAATAAACTGAGAATATTTAAAATGAAGATTTCGCAAATAATAATGAGGAAAATCCTCTTCCCATAAAAACTATAGGACTATAAAGTGACATAGAATTAATAAAACCCTGGATTTTAAACTGCCAGCCTTTTATAATTTGCGGACCTGAAGGGTGTGGTAAAAGTATGTTGATTAGAAGTTCTTTTGAAATATTAAAAAACTTAAACTAGAAAATAAGTATAGCTACTATATTTTGCAACGCCTAGACAACTGCTTAATAAATAATATAAAAATTAAACTAAATTTGTATAAAAGGAACTTTTGCATAAGGAAGAATTTTAAAGCCTAAAGAAGCTTCTCGATTGGTAATTTATCTAAAAGATATTAATTTACCGAAACCCGATAAATACTTGACTATTTAATTAATAGCTTTTCTTTAACAAATAATTACCCATAAAGGCTACTATGATGATTCTTTAGAGTTCATTTACTTAGACGAAAAAATATAAATAGTATGCTCAATGGCACCTCCTTCGACTATTGGAAGACATTAAATTTCAACTAGGTTTACTGCTAATGTAAGGATTCATTATATGTAATATCCTAAAAAAGAGGAATTATGTGAAATTTATGAATGTTTTTTTTTAAAAAATAACCTTAAAAATAATAATATGGAAAAAAAAATGGCTAATACACTAATAGAACTTTATTTTGGAATAACAAAAATATTTAATGTAGACTAATAAAGACACTATAATTTTACGCCAAGAAATTTAACTTAGATTGTTTTCGGAATGAGTAAATATGAAAACGATTAATAAATTATTGAGTCTTTTTTGAATGAAATTAATAAAACTTTTAAAGATAGATTAATTAATATTCAATAGTAAAATTAATTTGATGAATTTGTTTATAATTTATTGAATTAAAATTTCCAAGTTCAAAAAAATTCGCTTAAAGACATTTACTTTGCCTATTAAAATAACAAATTTACTAAATTATCCAAAAAAGATTATATTTAATACCTATAATAAGGCCTGATGTTATATGAAAGGGAATTTAAGGAGATGAAACTGCATTTATTAGATGAAATTTTATCACTTTTATCTAGTCTAGACCGTGCTTTATCCCTAGGAGGAGGTATTTTATTATGTGGGAAGAGCGGGATAGGTCGAAGAAGCTGTTTAAGTTTAATTTGTGCAATTTTAAGGATGGAAATAAACTCTCCTTGTACTATGAGAGATTATTCAGTTAGGGATTTTAAAAAAGAATTGAAAATAATACTCGAAAAAGCTGCAGTTTAAAATAAGTAAATGGTTTTATTTATAGAAGACCACCATGTATAAAAATCCGAATTTTTGGAAATTATAAACAGTCTAATTTCTTGTGGAGAAATACCCGGTTTATTTTCACAAGAAGAAATCGAGCATTCTTTTTCGAATAATATAGAAGATATTAGAAGGGAATATTACGGAAAAAGCTTATATGAGATTTTCTGTTTAAGAGTAAAGTAAAATCTCAGAGTAGTCCTAAACATGGACTTTACTAGTAAAGAATTCGGCAATAATTGTGCTTAAAATCCTGCTTTTTTTGCTAAATGTACTGTTATTTGGTTAAGTGAATGGAAATAAGAGTCTATGAAAGTTATTTTAATGAATGAATTATAGGAAGGATTATTTAAATAAGTTTAAAATGAAAAATAATAGGAAAACATTGTTAATTAGATTATTAATATTCATGATTTGGAAGTTAAGGAAAATCAAGCAGCCCCTTTAAAATTCTTTTAATTTGTAGAAACATATAAAAAGATTTTTGAAGGAAAAATTAATTCAAGAGGATCTAAAGTATTTAATTTAATATATATAAATTTTTAAATATATATAGAGTTAACATCTTAAATAAGGCCTAAAAAAATTACAAGAAGCTAAAGATATGGTCGATTAATTAGGAAAATAAGCCCAATAAAAATAAAAAGAATTAGCTTAAAAATAAGCGGAAGCAGATACTGCTTTAGTTTAAATTTCAAAAGCAATGTAAGACGCAGCTGATAGAAAATAAGAATGTGAGCAAATCAAGCATTTCTTATAATCAGAGGAAGTAAAAATATAAGATTCAAGGATAGAAGTAGCTGAATAATTAAAAGATGTCTAAGTAATAAAATATAAATATATATAAACAAATATAAATAAATATAAATAAATATAAATATAAATAAATATTTATAATTCTAGCCATTAGTAGAAGCAGCTTAAAAATCAGTTTAAGGAATTTAAAAAGGTGATTTAGATTTTCTCAGAAACTTAAAAATGCCTCCACCTGTTATACATAATATTATGCGAGCAGTTCTTCGTGTATTTGAAAATAATGATGATCGTTGGACTGAAATAAAAAAATTTTTAGGCAATAGATAGGTTTTAGAACAAATAATTAACTTTGATCCTTCTATAATAACACCTAAAGTCAGAAGAGAGGTATAAATAGCTATAAATGAGAACGAATCTTCTTTTAGAAAGGAAGTTTCTTATAATGCCTCGAAAGCTGTTGGTCCTATGGCTGAATGGGTATTGGCTATATTAAAATATTCTGAAGTAATCGAAAAAGTTCTTCCTTTATAATAAAAATTATAAAAATTCGACCAGAAATTAAACGATAGTAAATAGAAACTAAAAGAAAATGAAAACGAACTAATAAAGCTGGAATAAAAAGTAGAAAGTTTAAAAGATAATTTTTCCCAAAAAACCTCCGAAGCCCAAAAACTCAAATCAGATTTAAAAAAAGAAGAAGAAACCCTAAATATTGCCTCTTCACTTTTATCTAAATTAGCCGACGAAAAAATAAGATGGGAACACCAATCTTTATAAATAGAAACAGAATTTCAGACTTTCCCATAAAACTCCTTATTAGCAGCTGCTTTTACCACTTATTTACCTCAAAAAGACGAAAACTAGCGTGAAAAAGCGCTTCTCAAATGGAAAAAAAGCTCTAATAATAGCGCATTTAACTACTTAAAATTCCTCACTACAGAGTAATAAATACTCAAATGGAAGCAAGAATCTCTCCCTTCAGACTCTCTTACACTTGAAAATACTTTAATTTTACAAAATACATCTAAAACTGCTTTAATGATAGATCCAAATGGTTAGGCTACTTCTTGGTTAAAAAAAACACACTCAAATTTAGAAATACTAAATTTTTAAGATTAAAAATTCTCGAATCAACTAGAATTAGCAGTTCTTTTCGGAAAAACACTCCTGATTTAAGAAATGGACAAAATAGAACCTATTCTAGTCCCTATTTTAAGAAAAGATTTGATCCATTAAGGGCCTAGGTGGGTTATCTAAATAGGTGATAAATACATTAATTTTTCTGAAAATTTTGTTCTTTTCTTAGCGACAAGGAATTCTTCTATATAAATATAATAATCAATACAGGCTTAAATATGCATTATTAATTACTCAGTGACTAAAAGTGGGCTTGAAGGTAAATTATTGTCTATAATAATAAACCATGAATAGCCTGATTTAGAAAATAAAAAACAGGAGCTTCTCGAAAACGAATAAAGCCTAAAAATTCAACTTGCAGACCTAGAAAAAACACTACTAGAAGAACTAGCAAATTCTTAAGGAAATATACTAGAAAATACCGTCCTTTTAGAAAGCCTGAATCAAACTAAAGCCAAAAGTTAAACTATTACTATTAGTTTAGCCGAAAGTACCAAGCTTTAGGAAAATCTAGATACATAAAGAGAAGTATATAGGACTTTGGCTATAAAAGGTGCTTAATTATTCATTACTATAAGCGATTTATCTAAAATAAACAATATGTACAGATTTTCATTATAATATTTCATCAATTTATTCTCTTAATGTCTAAATACACCAAAAAAAGCTTCCGAAATAAACCAAAAACTAAAAGAATCTGAAAACCAATTAAATAAAATAATCTTCAACAATATTGCAAGTTCCCTTTTTAAAGCCGATCGAATGACCCTTTCCCTTCATTTAATAAATGATATTTTCCCTTAATTTTTTGCTGAAAATGAATACTAGTTTTTCCTTGGAAATATACTTTCTATAGAAAACCAAAACACTAATTTCCCTAAGTTTCTGCCTTAAGAAAATCGCGAACAATTCTCTTCATTTATAAGTACCTTCCCTTAATTAAATAATTAATTAAACTTCACATAAAATGCTAAAGAATGGGAAAAATGGTCCAAAACTCTCGAATGTGAAAAAGCCTTCCCCTAAAACATCAACATAACTCCCTTTTAAAAAGTCCTTGTAGTCCAGATATTCCGTCCAGAGAGACTTCAGACCTCTCTAAACGATTTTATATGCGAAATTCTCTAATTATAGTCACTTTCAGGCAATTAATTTTCCTTTTAATCCCTAAATAAAGACGAGCCTTCCCTATTTATCCTTTCTCCCGGTTCTGACCCTTCTACAGAACTCGAAGAATACGCAAATTAAGAAATCGGAAGAGAAAACTATATATCTATGTCTATGGGAGGTAATTAAAACGACATAGCTTTAGAAAAACTACGCGAAGCATAGAACAAAGGTCTTTGGATTTGCTTAAAAAACCTCCATTTAGTCACCAGTTGGCTCCCAGTATTAGAAAAAGAGATTAAAAACACCCTCTAGAACGAAACTACTCACAAAAACTACCGCGTTTTCCTCACGACGGAGCCTCACGAGAAATTCCCTGCTATATTATTAGAAACATGTCAAAAAATATCATATGAATCACCCCCTGGAGTCAAAAAAGGTATCGAGAGGATACTAAATGGCTGGAATAATGAATTATTATCAAAAGGAAATACCAAAAGAGCCCAATTGATGTTCTCAGCGAGTTTTTTTCACTCCATTTTGGTAGAAAGAAGGACTTTTATACCCTAAGGATGGTCTAAAATATATGAATTTTCCTATGGTGATTTGCGTGCGGCCATTTAAATTATTGAAAACCTACATAATGACAATAATTTTAGTTGGAAAACACTACATGGTTTATTCGAAAATGCAATCTATGGAGGAAGAATAGACGAGTTTTTCGATATGAGAGTTTTAAGGGCATATATAGACTAATATTTTAATGAAAAAATACTCAACGGAACTTTTTTAATTGGAAATCTAATAAAAATGCCCCAAAGTAATAATATTAATGACTTCTAGGCTATAATTGAAGAAAAAATGCCCGAAAATGATACTCCATTGCTTTTTGGGCTTCCTTAAAATATAGATAAAGCTGTTTAAAGGTATAATACATAAAGATTAATAGAAAATTTAAAAAAAATAAAAAAAACATCTCTTTTAGAATTAAAATTCGACAAAATTTAATGGCTTTAAAATCTCGAACCGATTTTCCTTTTATGGAATACCCTAAATAAAAACATAAAAAACCTACCATAGATTAAAAACCAAGACCTATTAACTAACGATCCTATAGAGTCTTTTGTATTTTTGGAAGCCTAGTAATCTTTCCTTATGTTAGAAAAAATAAACTAATAGATAAATAATCTATAAAAAGTACTCGAAGGAAATGCACTATTAACAACCGAAATTCATCAGACCGGAAATGACCTTATGTTAGGTAATATACCCGAAAAATGGCTAAAAATATGGGAAGGAGCTGAAAATCCATCTTAATGGTTAAAAGGCTTTACTACGAGAGTGTCTTAGTTAAAAAAATGGTTAGAAAATACTAAAAATAATACTCTAGTAAATAATAGTGTCAATTTAGCAGATTTATTCCATCCGGATGTTTTTTTGAATGCAGTGAGGTAAAAAAGTGCTAGATTAATGAAAAAACCATTAAACGATTTAAAAATAGTATGCTCTTTTGATAATAAGAAAATTTAAAGTCTATGTCCAATTGTAATTAAAGTTAGTAATTTGTTACTTTAAGGGTGTAATATTGAAGGCGAATTTTTGTAAGATGGAGGTAGTGACATTCCAGAGTTTATTTGTTTAGAAGAATTATATTTTGGATTTGTGGAGAAAAAATAAGGGGATATTTATGATTAGAAAAGCTTAGGGGTTTTTTATTTATTTCTTTTTATTTTTTTATATATTTATTTTTTTAAAGGAATTCCCGATTTTTGCTAATATTTTTAGAGAATAATTGATTGCTAAAGTTAATTTGCCGATTAAAGGATGTTTTAATAAAAAAGTATTAGCGGGAGTTGCTATTATTTTGTAAAATAATTGATTTTTTGCGATTTTTTTTGTTATTTGATATTTTTTTTTATTTAAAAATAATTATTTATAAGTTAAAAAAACAAAAAATTATTTTCACATTTTTTTATTATATATTTTATTTTTTTAAAAAAAGAATCTTATTTTCAAAATTATATTAATTAATTAGAATTATTATATTTAATTTTAAATTATCTTTTTAATTTTGATTTTCAAAAATTCTATCTTAGTTGTATTTATTTATAAATAAAATAATTTTAATTTAAGTTGTTAATTCTTAATATTTAATTATAATATTAGAATTTTATTTGTGGTAATAAAACTTATTATTATATATTTATTTATTTATTCAAATAATACAAAATATAATAAACTTTTAATTTCTATATATATATTTTAGATAAATTAAGTATTAAATATTAATTGTGTTTATTATATTACGAATATATGATAAAATTTATATTTTTATATTTTTAAATATTTCTAAAATTTTTAATAATTATTTTATTAAATATACAATTACAAATAGTAAAACAATGAATAATAAATATTTATTAAAAAAATTATAAATATTTGCAATCTATTTATAAAATAACTTAAAATAATAAAATTTAATTAAAAGTTAAGTAAAAATTACTTGAATGATTAATAAAAATTTCTGATTTATATGAATATATATAATTTTTCACAAAAATTTAATATAAAATAAATAATACTTTTAATAAAAATTTACTTATCAATTATAAACTGGCATAAAAAATTCAATATATGAAGATACATAACAAAAAGTCAAAATAATATTCTCTTATAAGAATAAAATTCATAGTATTATGTATTTAAAATAATTTAAAAAAATAACTTTAGTAGTCATATAAAAGTATCTTATTTTAATCTATAAAAAACTTAATATTTAAAACATAATTTTTTTCAATAAAAGTAATAAAAGTAATTAAGCAAAATATTTTTATTAAGTATTATATATATATATAAATATTTAAATAAACAATAAAAACATTAAAACATACAATGAAGTAAAAAATTTAAATTTCAGTGATATAATTTAAAAAACTAAATTAAGGTTTATAAAAATGATATTAATAATTTTTAATAAATAAAATAAATCAACAAATTTTAAATAAAAATAAGATATATATTTTTATTAGAAAATAGAGATATTCTTTTATAAAAAGAATTATATAAATTTAAAAATGTCTATTAAATTAAATTAATCAGAAATTAATTATAATTTTTTTTATATAAAATCTTTTATATTTAATAATAATATGATATTTTTATTTTTATTTAATAATCTTAACAAATATTTATGCTTATTAAATTTAAAATATTATAAAATATTAATAAATATTATAATATATAATAATTAAAAAGACAAAAAGACAAAAATGTTTTTAATAAAGATATATATATTTATTATTTATTTTTAATAATTATTTTTATTTAAATATATAATTTTCTTTATTTATAAAATTAACTAAAGATAAAATAAAATAGAAATAAATTATTTAAAATTATATATTTTTATTTATATTATTATTAATTATTTTATAAAAATAGAAATTATAAATAAAAAATTAAAAAGAAATTAAATTTTTATTTAGGAATAAATATAATATTTAATTTATTTTTAAAAATGAATAAATTTATTGTTTAAAATATATATTTTTTATGAATTAAAAAATTTTATATTTATATAAATTATAAATGTTTACTAATTATATTATTTTTTTTCAATTTTTTTTTTAATTTAATAGAATTATTTATTCATTCTTTATTACCGTTTGTAAATATTTATATAATTTAATAAGCCAAATAATATATTTAATCTAAATTATATGTTTTATCTTAAGGTTAATGTCTATTTATTAGCCAAAAGTTATAATTAAATATATTTTTAGTTATATAATTTTAATTTTTTTCTATTTGTTCTTTTAATATATTTTTTATTATTATAGCTTAAGTTATGCGCTCATTCTGCAATTGTATCTAATAGTATTTATTTAATAATATCATCTAATATTAATAAAATTAAACACTTTGAAAAAAAATTATATTTTTTATAATATAAAGAAATAATTTATTTTAAATATTTAATTTTATATTATTTTTATTTATATATAAAAATGATTATTAATAATAGAATATATTAATTAAATATAATTAAAAAAATATTAATTAAATAAATAAAAATAAAAAAAAATAATTGAGAAAGAAAAATATATTAAATCGTCAGCTTTTTATACAAAAATTAATTTATTTTATAGAAAAAATATAATAAAAGATAAAATTAAAATTTATATAATATATAAAATAAAAATATTATTTATTATAATTTAAATTATTTAATATAATTATGAAAATAAAAATTTTCAATACTATTTTAAAAAAATAAAAAAGATAAAATACATATATCTAATAATTTTTATGATTCAAACCAATAATTACAAACAATATTATAGAAAATAATACAAATTATTTATAATTATTATTTTTAATTTTCTAATATATTTTTAATTTTAAAGAACGTTTTTTTTATATTTATTTTTTTATTTTTCTATCTTTTTTTAATTCGTATAATATTCTCTAAATTATCAATGTAAGCATTCTTACTTTTTAATATTTGATGATTTCTGTATTTTAAGCATATATATATGAGTTCATTAAAGCTTGTATTAATTTAAATAATTAAATGAGGAGATATAGTATTTTTACTAGATATCTTTGCAATTAAATATTTTCTTGAGTATATTAGTAAATTATTTTTGTTAAAGTGAATTTTGTTCAAAAAAAACTAAATTCTTTTGATTTTTTAAATTGAATAAGAAAATTTAATATTTATTGCTTTATATTATAGTAAAAAATATGGAAAATATTAATAAATTTTAGAAATTTAATTATCATTAATTATACTTTAAAATACCATTTAAATAGTAGTATATTTATTATTAAATTATTTATATCTAAATAAGATTCTTTAAAATATAATAAAGCTTATATAGAATTTTAAATTATTTCTTTTTAAAATCATAGTGTTAATAATAAATAAATATTTAGTCTAAAGTAATATTAATACCTTTATAAATTAA